TATGTTGCTGAATTCTTCTGGCTAGAATTTTGTTGAGAATTTTTGCATCTATATTCACGAAAGGTGTTGGTCTGTAATTTTCTTTTTTTGTGGTGTCTTTGCCTGGTTTTGGTATCAGGTTTATAATGGCTTCATATAATTAATTTGGAAGTATTCCTTCCTTCTCTATGTTCTGAAATAGTTTGAGTAGTACTAGTGTAAGCTTTTCTCTGAATGTTTGGTAGAATTCTCCAGTGAAGCCATCTGGGCCAGGGCTTTTTGTTGTTGTTGCTGGGAAAAAAGGACATTTTTGGTAAAAGATATGACAAATATAACTTTGTAACACAAATCAAAAATATGTGTGTGGTTAAACAAGTATATAGGCATATATTGTATGGATATGAATATGAGGGGACATGTGGGCACAGATAGATGTATTTATAGGCATATGTACATATAGGTATGTGTGTGCATGCATGTATATTCATATATATAATAAACCTCATAGGGTACACAGTTACAGATACTACTTAGACATAACCAAACACCTCACAATATTGATTTTCTGGGTTTGAAGGCTTAGTACTATAGTCTCACAGGACAACTCAGTTAATTGGCATAATATAGTTCATAAAGTGTATGTTCTGCATCCCAATGTGGTGAGTAGTGTCTGGGGTGTTAAAAGCTTGTGACCAGCCATGTAACACAAAACTACTGGTCTCCACTCGTCTGAACAAAACAGAAAGATGGAAACCAGGGACTCAGAGAAGAAAGTAATCTACAGGACTAACAGTCTCCACGAACTATGGCTTCATCTACCCTGGGACCAGAAGAACTAGATGGTGCCCAGCTACCACTACCGACCATTCTGATCAGGGCTACAGTAGATGAATCCTGATAGAATGGGAGAAAAATGTGAAACAGAACTCAAATTCCTAAAAATCCCAGACTTACTGGACTAGTTGAGACTAGAGGACTTCCTGAGACTATCACCCTGAAATACTCTTTAAACCTGAAACCGAAACTATCCCTCAAGGTCACCTTTTAGCTAAATAACAAATTGGCTCATAAAATAAAGACTATCTCCCAAGAGTAATGATCTCCTTTAAAAAACATCTATCTGAGACCAAATGGTGAAAATTTACTCTAAAACAGAGATGAGCAAGTAACGGGGCAGGGAAACTAGAGTACTGGAAATGGTACAACCAAAATACAATGAATGAGAATGACACATTGTGAAAAATGTAACTTATATCACTGAATAATTTCTGTAGAAATTGTTAAATGGGAACCTGATTTTCTGTGTAAAGTTTTACCTTAAACATAAAAAAAAAGAAATATACCATGCAGACTTTTGTTACATAATATGTCAATTTTAAATATATTTTTCCACGGCCTGAAGGTGTCTGTAGGTTAACTCGTCGTGTAGAAGGTCCTACCTTGATTAGCAAGAATCCTCAGGGAGGCTTTCCTGAGCCTATTCTGGAAAACCAAGCAGCATCTCCATAGCTTATATCATCAAATATAGTGGTGTCAAGAGTAGCACGTTCTTCTATCTATATGTTGTTGTTGTTTTTTCCACAGATAAAATCGCCAAGAAAAACTCCCTTGGCAATCTGACCATAAACGCTGACTTTCAAAATTCAACCGAAGCAATAGGAACAATGCCAGAGCAGAAAGAAACAGAGACTGGGAAAGAAGGCGGAGTCAGGTGAGAATTCAGTAACATAATACATGTTAGAAAGATTGCTGACCCTGTACTGAAAAGCTCAAACACCTATTCCCCCACTTTAGCTGAGCAAAAGGAACACTTTTCCTTTGGTCCTTTATCTGGGCAGGATTACTACAATAGTTCTTCAAAAGGAAACTGGGCCAGAACTGCAGGTTGGTTCTGTCCATTTCATTGTCCCTTATCGGCCAAGTATAGCCACTAATCAAGATTTCTAGGCAGCCCTTTGGCCATAGGCCAAATCAAATCAACAAAAAAATTGCAGTCACATGCCTGAGTCATTAGTATCATCATGGAAACAGCCTACATATTTACTAGGCATGAATTTTGCAAAGAAGGAATTGAAGAGAATGTATGATTGTTTTCCAGGTTCACAAAGAAATAGCTATTCCAATTCTATAAATATTTTATTGCTCCACAAGATTGATTATTATTTCATCTTCTAAAGAAACTGTGGCACAATAACCAAGGATAATTATGGAAACGGGTAATCTTTCTGCCACGGAAGGAATATAGTTTTATAAATACTTCCCACTAAAATTATTGGAAATGTCACAAAAGAGATGGCAATTTAAATGTGAATCATTGAATCCATAATAAAACCCAACCAAGAGGCCTTTCATTGTGCCATATCTTGGCATGTTATTATCCGCCTGCTGATCCAATTTGAATAGCCTAACTATACTTAATATAATTGCAATAGATATGTGAAACAATAACAGCGTACACTTCTTATTCAACAGGCAAGAAGAGTTGTTTAAAAAGAGGTTAAAAGTATCTATTCTCCCCCTACACACATTTCTCTCTCAACAAGTGCTATAATGTGCTAAACTCTGTGCTGTCAGTAGGAGTTATCATAAATATTTAGGACCCAGTATATTGCTAATTGAACAACAGGCATCAGAAAGATAGAATGCATTTTCAGTTAGCAGAGATTTGGCTATAAATGACAATAAACACAAGCTCACTCTACCTCCCACACACAAAAAAAGCTCTTTGACAAAAATAAAACCTGACATATTATTTAGGCAGAGAAATGTTTAAACTCTGACGTAAGGACTAGAATTTTACAACAGGGTTTAGTAATTACTTATATTATTTTTACAACTCTTGGTGTTTACAGATGACTTGCATCCTATTACTAGGTCGTTGGTATCGTCCCTCTGCACATAACGAAGCAAGGCACAAAGAGGTTAGTTTGCTTTAGTAATAGGGTCAGCTAGGCCAAGTTTAGACTGCAAAAGACTCAGATTCCTTAACTGAACTTTTTCCTCCCTCCCACAAGTACACTCCCCTTCAATCAACAGCTTAAACTTCTGAACTACGTAATCTCTCTTTCTACCACTTATTTTTTTTTATAAATATATTTTACTGTACTTCAGGTGAAGGCTTACAGAACAAATAGTTTCTCATGAAACAGTAGTACGCATGTTGTTTTATGACAGTGGTTAACAACCCCACAACTTATTAACCCTCTAACTTCTCAACTTTTCATTTTGGTGAAAATACACATAGCCAAAGATACACCATTTCAAAAATTTCTACATACACAGTTCAGTGACATTGACTACGCTCTTCCAATTCTGCTGTTATTCTCACTTAAGATGAAGGCTTACAGAACAAAATAGTTTCTCATTTAACAGTTACTACAAATGCTGCCTTATGACAATGGTTAAAAATCT